TTACGTCTCTGGGTCCTATGCGTGCCTAGCGGGGTATTTGGTCTATTTTTGCCGGCTAGGTGTTCTTTTATGCGGACACAGAGGGGTCTGCTCGTTTTTCCGATGTATTCGTCACCGCACGTCTTACAGGAGATCAGATAAACTATACCCGAGCTCATGCAATCACCGTCTCTACCATTGGGGCAAATTATGCAATTCTGCCTTGCACATAGACGGTCATATAGGTGGTTACGAACTAGTTGGCACCTAAGAGTACTCGGTGGCATTTCAACTACGTTTACTGAATTCTCTGGATCCGCCCTTCTTAAGCAGCGTTTTATAGCTGCACTTACATCACTTGAGATGAAGATTAGGATAAACGGAGACCTTTATATCACTAGAGTTGCCATTTGGGGCCTAGGATTTCTTCTACACCTATCCGAGCTACAGTTTTCGAAGGCGTTAGAAGTGGCTATTTGCCGTGCCAAGTTCCGAGACTCCTCTCTCTGCTCTCTTTCCGTGCACACGTTGGTTGCTGTTCGTAACATGTTTCTTAGAAGCATCCTTTTCGTGTGAGAGGGATGATAGGAGAGGTGATGAGCCAAGATGTTTTTACTACTTGGCTTTCGGTACCACTTCGTAATGTAGCCATTTTCTGACAGGTTAATTTGGACGTTCACAAGTGGAAGCCAGTTTTCTCTCGGTTTCTCTCGGGCGAACTTGATATACTCTGACTGTTCGTTCAATAACTCGAAACACTTGTTTATTTCCTCTTGTGCTGATCAAAGGATAAAACAGTCATCTATATGTCTACGGTAGAGTAACGGCCCTAGATCGGTCACTGGTGCTTCCACCTTAGACACAAACGCAATGACATGACTTGGTGCCAGTCTAAGAATTGATAAGCGCCGAATTTAATCCTTGGAAGCCGTACTTCTAGTAAGGTGTCTAGGAACTAGAGCAGTAAAAGAGAACTTGAAAAGATTAGGTGAAGCAGTTCTACATGAAAAGTGCCAAATATTTTTACTTCTTTCGATTCTCTCTTAAATGGTAATACCGTTGCAAAAGTATTATTGGACTGGAAGTTCAGAGCATTTTGTGAGATTCACCGCACGAACAGGTTTTCCACATAATTGCAACTTCATAATAAATAATCCCGTGTAAATCTCTACTGAATTTGTTCACAATAGGAAAAAAGGATTAGTTAGGACTAGAGCAACTGCAAAAAACCGCAGCCTGCAAGACAACCCTATGGAGCACATATCTAAGTGTAATTTTCCGTGCATAATTTTTTACCTTTAAATTTTATCTATACTTTGTTCACGTATATTTACACACAAAAACATTATAAGGTCATTCTGTATGAATAGCATTCGAGCGGTCCCACTCCTTGGAGATGGCCGCCGAAACGTTAGCCATCGAAAGTCAAAGATATCCGTTAAGGAATTTGCTTTAACTCATCAAGAGCAGTTCAAAACAGTACAGTTGCAATTTTTCTGACTTTGCTATTCGACAATATTTAAGAGATACCATTACAATTTTCTTAGATAATTTACTCGATGATTCGAGAATAATCTATAACATTACAAAGCTAACAAGAAGAGATCATTTCGTTTCTTTTCCTTCAAATGAACACCTAATCTTCCTACGTACCGTATTGAAGTATCGGCAAGTAAGAGCAATATGCATTTTTAGTAAATACAAAGAAACATTAGTAAATAAATAGCGACGATTAGATGACGATCGGATAGCGATCGAATCCGTCCGTTATCAGCATATACCAACACAGTGTAAGCAGCATAACTTTGCGTTCCAAAATATGGAGCAATACCTGAAACAAAATGTTGGAAATTTTTCAGTACGAAGATAAAGACAAGGTCGGGTCTCCTATATATAGAGGTTTGACTTAACTACAAATCAGAAAGTATGGCGTACTGAGGACATACTGGAGGAAATGGTTTCGATACATAAACAAAACGTTGAAAAAGACTCAATTAAGGACTATGTTCTGTTTATCAGAGAGCTCCAAGACGTTGTTGAACATGTCAAAGGCATTCAACCAACAAGTTTTAATCACATCTATACCTTCAAGTTGTTCGAGAAGAAGAGAATATATATCCAACTTCGAAACACTTCGCAGGTCTGTTAGTACTCAACCTCTACGAACGATATGAGAAGAACGATCTACAACAGAACGAAGAAACATGTAAACTAGATTCTGACAAAAATCCCTCTGCGTAAATCACATCAAAGCCCTTTCCAAAGTAACTCGAGGATGACTCCTACCTATCTAATTTCCTAGCTTTGCTGTGCTACAAAAATAGTTCGCTTAACTAGCGCCACCTTGCTGCAGCTCACTCACTTCCTGATGAACTGTTCCTACACAAGAAAAGGTAAAAAACTACATTTCATTGTTATTTTTCTCGATAACACAGCTTTTTGACTTTTCTTCTTTGATGATCCCCTTAAAAAAGAATAGTCAACAAAGGAACACCAGTTCGTTAAAACTTTCACTGCTGGAATTGAGTGTACCATGGAACTGAAACCGCTTTGTAGAAAGCATTGTTACCGTTCAAAATGCGAAAGCGATGTTTAAGAAGGTAAACGAAGCAGAGAAAAGTACCACCTGGAACAGATATGGAGCTCATGGAAAAACCGTGGCACGGCGAAATCGAGCCGAATCATCGATCCGAAAACAAGGGATGCACGTCTAATTTGTAATAAGAAAGTGAGTCCCGAAGTTTGAATTATCATTCGGCCCGTTACTTCTTTGTTCTTTCAAAAAACGTTGATCAACTTAAAAGAATTACATGAAAAAGGAGCTACGCAGACGGCTCAAAGCATCATGGAACGTTCTGAAGCCTTTTGAGGAGGTCGCCGAGCATTCAACAAAGTAAGTTCACCTACTTGATATGTCCTGGCCCTGACATAACGCTAAGGAGCTGACTCACACGTTTAAGATTCAGGGCACAAACCACAGAGCTAGCTCATCAGCGATGCTCGTTGAAATAAACGATTTAGTGCCAAGCACAGGTGAATCGATGATGTGTTAACAATCTACGCTATAATGGATGAGATAACAGGAATAGCAGAGTAGACATCAAGAGAATCTAAGCTTTTTCTAGTAGAATGAGCCACGACGTAGGAGGAATTGCTTATAACTGGCAACAACTGGCTATCTTCCTGTACGAATTTAAAGATCACTGAACGAGACTTTATTCATCTCCTATGCAGACTTTGAACAAGCCGCCTGCAGAATGACTATCGATTAAAAAAATGGAGTCTGGAATTAGAATTGCTGCCTAAACGTGCATTTGGGACGTCCAATCCAAATAACCCAGTAATTAAGGTCCAAAAAACTGAAAAGCAAGGTAAACACCCAGGAACACCTTCTAGCCACAATGAGGCGGTAGATCGTTGAGGGAAAGAACGGTTGTAAGTATAAGTGCAAGGAGGAAAGGTGTAAGAATACGAGTCGATCCTTTTATTTGTTCTGGGCTGACATCGCTCTTCTGCAAGAGTTGTTTAAAGTCGGTTGAAGATTTTGCTGAATTTTGAAAAACTTGGAATTCAATGAATTTATGAACCGTCGTAGATGTGTCTTCCGCGAAGCCATCATCGATACACATTGTTCTTGGACAGAACCACTCGGCCTTTCTGGTTGTTCTATGACGTCGCGGTGCTCTCTATAACGTTAATGTGAACAGTTTGAAAGCAAAAATTCTGTAATGTTGAAAATATTTTTCTGGCAGTACATGTTTCTTTGTCTTTGTTAACCTTCGAAAATAAACGGAAAAGACTAGAAATATAGATGCTGAATCTGTTTCTTTCAAAAACGCTTCTATTAAGTGCTATTGCCTGTAAGAAAAGGATTTAAGTGCTTAGTCCCATTCCAGTTAAATTTAGATACGAGTGGCCAACATTAGGGTTATAGGGGTAAGAAGATGGAACAATAAGGCTACAATTAGCAATCTTAACCCTTTTATTTACTGCCTTTTTCTTCTTAATGGCAGGGTATGTTGCGAAATATAACTCGTATGAAATGCTGAGATATTTGCAAAACTCAGGACCACAGGTGTACGCAGTGGGAAACGAACACGCGCTGTTGTCCTTACCGGGGAGCAGCGCACTTCATACACTTCATACTAACTTCACTGCATACACCTGCGGTCCGGAGTTTTGCAAATATCTCAGCATTTCATACGAGCTATAAATAGCGTTTATAGGTTATAGGATGTGAGTCGAATCTTTTATTTCTCATGGGTTGACAACGCTCTTAAACAAGATTTCTTTAAAGCTCGTTGGCGATTTTGGTGCATTTCATCGCTTTACTTAAAGCTGGAAGGGAGGCAGACAGCCTGGTAGTGATGGTGATCAACACGAGCCGGTGCTGATCTGGTATCGCTCTGAGCTCAAGAAGCCTCTCATCCCTCCTGAGTTGAAAAATTAGAACTGGCCTTGTCTGGAAAAAATCATCCTCTGAAGTCCAAATGAGGACGCTGTAGCCTTGCTATGTTACTCCAAGAAGAATCCATTATGCCAGCATTCAACGGCATTCAAAGTGGAAGAAAAATTCTCAAACAGCACCGAAAGCCACAGATAAAAAGCCGAAACACCTTTGTGGATGATGGATGTGAGGAAACGAATCGAATGTGGGAAGAGCAAGGATCCGCACAATAGATGTGAGCAACGGATATTTAAAGAAAGATATATATATATATATATATAAATATAAATATATATGCTCTGTTATGTTAGTTGATTGCCTAAACTGCATAAATTATCTATTTAAATCATTTGTTAGACAAAAATAATCTTCAAGGGCTCCATTTCTCCTGACCATTCAGTTCAAAGGATATTATTCGATGAATTTTGTATTCTTCCTTCAGGTCACCGCAAAGCTTTCATCTTGCAGATCCACTGTCGGTGTGAATTTAACACCTATTTAGGAAACAAACACGACAGTGCAGTGTAGCACCGATTTTTTGTATTTTATTTGTAATGAGTGATAAAACAAAGGCTTACATCATTCTAGGTTGTGTCATGTGAGCTTCCTGATTTGGATAGCCATTCTGTTGAAGAAATTCCACTACATCCGCGTACGATGTTGTCATTCTGAAAAGAAAAGGTGGTGATATATGTGGTAACATATTTGAAGATGATGCTCTAAACACCTAAGAGAAGAAGCTCGAATCTGTTGGCATGCCAATCTTTTAGAAGGTAATCAAATAGCTTTTGACTTATTTACAATTCGAACCTATACGTGACGCTATGCATTTTTTCACATAACATGTGCTTCATATCTAATGTGCTGATCCCATTATTTCTCGCATTCGATACGTTTTCTCGTAACAATGATCCACGAAAGTCTTCCAACGTTAAGGTGTGGCTTTGGCAGCTGCTTGAGGATTTTCCTTTCATCTTGAATGTTGTTGAGTGCCGGTCGAGTCCATTTTCCCTGCAGTTCTGAGACAGCCAGGCTAGAGCATCTCCTCTTGGACTGAGAGATTTATTTATTCTTGGATAAGTTCGGTACTAATTTCCAAAACCCTTAGGGATGACAGTCTCAGTGAGCTCGAATCGGGATCGAACCAGCATCGCGCTCTTGATGACCGCTATCACTATTGCTGTGCTACCCACCCCCAACGTTTTGCATAGCTGGCCTATACAAGACTCCGATTACCCAACTGATGGCAAAGAGGGTTTTATCCTTCAGGCAGTTCTATGCCAATTTACCTACACCGTGTAGAAGAAAGTTTTTGTTCGCCTAGGCGTAAGATCGAATCAATAACTATGTCCATCTCAGTAATATCTCTATCCACTACACTTCGTGAACCGTCGAACACATACATGCAAAATACTAAGCTTAATTCGCTGCTTTCTAGATGAGCAAATACGTGGTTGGTACTCTAACAATTCTTTTTTTGCCACAAAGCTGGCATTCAAAGGATTTCGTCCTTTTCGGAGCTTGGAAAAGCCAAGTTAACCAGAAAAACTAGCCAGCCAAAAACCTCAAGAAAAAAACCACGGCACCTAGACTTCAATCGCACTAGATATAAAACATCTTCGCAAGCTCACCGTTTCCTATGAGTCTTCTACTGAGAGTATTCCACGTGGAGACCGACAGCACAAAATTCACATGGAGGCGTAATGTGTTTGTTACGTCAAAATGTCACCCTAGGATACTGTGTGAGATCTCGCGTGATGATGAAGTATTCCTCCTTGCGGTTCATTTTTAGATTCCTGGAATTCATCCAGAATGCTTCGCCGAAGTTTTTCGCTCCTGTTCAAGGATGGTAACTTCTGCTTCAAAATCCTCCCAGTTATGTCTCTGTCCCCTCTAGGCGTCTAACGAGGTATTTCGTTTAACTTAAGTTTACCGTCGAGCTGTTCTTTTATACCGACACAGAGTGGTCTACCCGTTTCGACAATGTATTCATTCCGCATGCTTTACAAGAGATCAGGTACGCCGTACTCGAACTCATGCGATCATCGGTATGCTATGCAATTTTACGTTGTGTATAGACGATTATAAAGACGATTACGAACTACTGAGCTTCTAAGTGTTCTGCGGTATTTCAATCATTGTTGTCAAATTTTCTTGACCGACTCTTCTCAAGCAACGTTTTATAGCTATGCTTATTTCCTTGAAAATGGTGGGCTGCAGAGAACGGACTTTGTTTCTGCTAGAGCTCTCGTTTGGAGGAAGAAAAGTGGAATTTTTCCTTAAACCTACTTCTAGCGTCTACTATTCCGTGGCCATCGTAAATGGCTATTTGCCTCACCATTTTCGGAGAATTTTCCTTCCGCTCTTTTCCTCTGCCTGAACTAACATTTCTTCTCACTCCTCACACAAAAAGAACGTTGGCTAGAAAAATGTTTAGAACAGACACCACTGTTAGCACAGGTAGAGAGCCGAAAGAGAAATCTCGGAAATTGGTAGCCATTTGGAATGGCTACGAAACTGTAGCTCGTCTGGATAGGCGTGGAGGAAAACACTTCTAGAGCGGAAATTCATGTGAGGACGAGGTCCCATTTATCTTGCTCTTTATTTCCAAAGAGATAAATGCAGTTGTAAAACGACGTTTAATAAGAACCGGTCTAGCGAATACACTAACAGTGATTGAAATACCATTGGGAACTCTCGGACGCCGGTTAGTTCGTAGTTGCGTGAATAGTCGTCTAGGCACAACGCAAAATTGCCCAATTTGCCATAATGATAGAGACAGTTATTGCATGAGTTCGGATACGGTTTATGTGGTTTCTTGTAAAGCATGTGGGGACGAATAAGTTGACTAAACGAGTAGGCCACTTTGCATTCGTGCGAAAGAATATCTGGATGGTAAGCGCTGCGCTAGGCAAATTATCCCATTAGGCCTTCACGGGACACATTCGCATAACGAGAAAAATCCTGAAATGGAAGTCATCATCTCCGCAGTGGAGTCTAAAACATCAGTGCTAAACCTTTGAAACATTCTGGTTAGATTCCAAGAATTATAAAATGAGCCATAAGGAGGAGTGCCTCACTATCACAGGGATGTTACACAATATCTGAGTTTGACTTTCTATTAACCTCAGCATTGATCAAATAAATAACTCGAAAGACCGACTTTCTGTAAACCTCGGCATAGATAGTTGATATATCTATTTATATGACCTTATAAACTGATCTTCTTAAGCTGATGCGAGGTTGGTACAGGTCTTCGTTGTCGTTGTCGTTGTTTTTGATGTTGTTGGTCGATGGCTGACGTTTCGGCGACTTCGCCTTCCTCAGAGCCGTGAGGGTCCCACGGAGTGGGGCTGGGAAAGGGCATTCGCGCGAGTAAATCGCGCAAAAAGGCGATTTACGCGCGAAAAACGCGAAAACGACCGCCCACTCGATGTGGACGAGTTGTCCGTTCGTACGCTGTAACACACCTCCGAACGCGGCTTTCGCGCGGTTTAAGCTATTTGCAGCCGGCTGTCAGCTAGTCACACGCCTGCAAAATGCTCACCCCGGATACTGTAACCGTAGACGAGTTATCCACCGAAACTCCAAAAAACGCGTTTTTTGCCGCTCCGATGTTATTTCCAGCCGACTGTCACCACTACCAGACTAATTCTGGCGGATTCTTATACGCAGACATACATCCAATTTATTATATTCTGAACAATTTAGACCTTAATGGATCCTAGAACTGCTTTTATAGTTTCTAGAAATTTTAATTTTACAATACTGCAATTTTCGGTGTATTTTGCCGGCGATGATGATAGATGATAGATATAGATGATGGTATCTTATGATAGATGTTGCCTGCGTGTTTCGATCCATTAGGGTTTAAACGCTGCTGATTCTGGTACGCCGAGATCCGATTTATTATATTCGTGGGAAGATCAGTTTATAAGATCATATAAATAAATAGTTCAAACAAATCTTTATATCCTTGTTGAGCAAACACGAGATACTATAGTTCCTAGGATCGACTTTCTATTAACCTCGGCATTGGAATATGAATGTGTCGTTTTCTTGTTCAGCAATCGCGAGGTTCTAAACTTCCTCATTGGAAGTCACGAAAAAGCGGTGGGTTTTTCAGATTATGTAATTACCGGAGAGTTCTTCGTCTTTTTGTAAGTGTCATTGAAGCGTTTGGCCTAGTAGATTGTATATCAGCAAGCCCTTCCAGGCTCTGAAGAAGGCGATACTGCCGAAACGTCAGCTAGCGTTGTATTGCATTGTGTTTTTCTATGGAAGTAAATGTATGGTGTTTAAAACCCTCGTGTTTGCTGACCAAGGAAACGACACGAGTTACTATTTTACTTCTTTATTACGACGAAGTTGACGTTTCGGCAAATTTCGCCTTCCTAATACGGAAACCTTCCGCGAGGCGAAATACATCAAAATGGCAGCTTCGCCGTAATAAAGAAATAAAATAACATGTCTTGTCTGCTCGGCAAGAATATAAAAAATTTGAGATTGATATTTTAACGTAGGTGTGGCTCATTACTCTTCCACTCTTCCATGCTCTTCCATGTTCACGGTTGATCTCCACGTGGAATGCTCTCAGTGGAAAACTCATAGAGAGCGGTGGGCGCGCGAAGATGTTTCGTATCTAGTGCGGTTGGAAGCTAAGTGCCGTGGTTTTTCTACTGAGGTTATGGAGATGTTTGGCCCGCTAGTTCCAGATTTATCTACTTTCTCAGGCTCTGAAAAAGGGGAAACCTTCCGAATCGCCAGCTTTCATGGCAAAAAAGGATAAAGTAGCAACCTTGTGTTTGCCCAATTAGAAAACGGCGAATTATTTAATCAGTGCCGAAATTAATAAAAAATTGGTCCCGGAAATATTGAGCGTTTTTTCAGAGAGTGTGAAAGATAGCGTAAAAGACACAGCGACTATAAGCTTTCACAAACCTTCAACATCTCACCAAGACATCGATATTGATTGTGCTAGGATTTTGAGCAGCTTTTTATCCACATTTTTTTAAAATGAAACCGTGGCTATGAGGTCAATAAATTATTTGCTACGATTCACCTGTAGTTAAACTCTACGGTATAACAAGCAGCTATCCTGGCTGTATTGTGGAGACATTGCAAAGCCCAGCCACTCTTACAATCTTCGATGTTGCAGTAGAGGTAGGAGAGTGAACCGCACGAATTTGAACCGGTGTTACAGCACTTGCACTGAATTACATGTATATATGGTAATGATAACGGAATGGTAATGTTGAAAAGATTATCATTTTACGACTTGTACAACCTATAAAACCCAGATTTTAAACCTATAACTCCCGCGCTGTTTTCGGCCTCGTTTAGTTATAGCCTTGGAACGACGCATTATTTTCAGCTTTGACAGACTTGATGGTTCTCTGACAGCAAACGATAATCTTTTCATAAGTAGAGGTACTAAAGAGTTGTTAACAGGACAGGACATTCCATTCCAGCATTTTGAAGCCTACACTATCTATTTTGATATTTTTTATACTTGTACATTCCATTCGATAACTATCGTTCATTATAGTAATTGCAATTTAAATAGCAGTCAGTTGGTAATAAATTTATCAGTCAATGAACTCGCTGGAGAAAAAGTTTTGTCGAATATTCTTAAGTGCAGGATAAATCGTTTCCCAGCCGATTCCCGCGACGACACCTCTATTGGGTAAGCTACTAGTTGATTGTTGCAAGAAGAGTGTTTTCTGCTGTAAAATAAAGCACCAGAAGGAGAATGACCCATATAGAGCTCATACCAATCACAACCACCAACCACGTGTCGCTTATAAATGCATAAAATGTGCACCATCTGTTATGTGCTAGTAAAAACTGAGTTAAATATTCACTAACGAGGCTAAATAGGGATTTAAATTTTAACTTATTCTTTACTGCCTACTCTTTTTAACGGCAGGGTGTATTGCGAAATATAACTTCAATGATGCTGAGATATTTGCAAAACTCCGGACAGCAAGTGTCTGCGGTGGGGAACGAACGCGGAAAGTAACGCGTTTACCATCACACCATGTGGGTCCTTCCCTTCCCTGTCTCTCAGCTAGTTCTACCGATCTTTTGCCATCAGCAATCACCCGCCAGTCCGGAGTTTTGCAAATGTCTCAGCATCATAGAAATTTAAAGTTGAAGCGTAATACTGTGTCTAGGCTAACGTCTTCATTCCTTCACACAGAGTTTGCCATAGTTTCATAGAAAGTAGGCCGTACGACCTTTTCTATGCGGAGGCGAAGAGAAGCCAGCAGTTGTCCTTAGGAGTTTTTGGTAGGAACCATTTAACTTGGAGCTACTTAGTTGTTTTTTTTTAGTTTTAAGTTTTAGTTAAGAAGTTGCTTGATTAAAAAATCCTTAACAGCGACGATGGTCAACTTACCTCCTTGGAGCTATCAAACCAGCGTTTTTGCGATATTGACGGTTTATCGGCTGCAATGAGATTGAGAAACACTTGAAATCGACCTCTCTAAATACGAGATTTTCTTTGCTAAAAACTATTCTAACAGTCTACTATAACTCACCCCTTTGTTGAGCCGTTTTTTGATTTCGTCATCGATACCTTTCACCTTATTTCGAATGAAGTGTTCAAGCGTGTCCCTATTTGGCAAACTGATCAATCTCTAAACAAGATCACTTTATAAAACGGTCTTAGCCTAAATCAGAAATCCATCTATATAATCTCTCTTTCATCTGACGTATTCGTTGGCTGTCCAAATACTTTAGAACTCCACCGATATTCGAAAGGAAATCTGCCAGTAGAAGGAATTTCGGTATTATTAATGAAAGCTAAGCATCACCATCAAGAATACTGGTGCGACATCCTGATAAAGAATGAATTCAATGTACCTTAAAATCATATTCATTCGCAGAAATCGGCTTGCATCTCTCGTCACTTCGCGGAGTGTCGCCAGCGGACGACGGCAGAAACTGAAATTATCGTGTTTCAATCCACTGTCAATTTCAAACTATACCTCTTTCATCGCTTTCTCATCTTATACTTTTCGTCGCTCTTCTTGCACTTATCAAGAAATATTGCGACTAGGGGACATGGTTTCTTGAATCCTCCTACCTGATGTAGTCCATCGTTCAGTTGTGACTCAACTTGTTCACCGACTCCGCATAAATCGCAATATCTGCTAAAAAAAAGTTGTTAGAGGTGCGAAATGCGCCATAGAGGGAGGCGAAGCTCACTTGTAGCTCATGAAGCATTTCTTGAAAAAAAAAGCACAACTTTGATGAAAAGCTACGTCTTTAGGATTGAAAAAGGTTATTGATTAGTGACATGACGATTGCATAACTACTGCAATGATAATGTTATACCTTTTTATTTTCTGCCTACTATAATTTCGCGGCAGGGTACTAAGCGAAATACAACCACAACGTTGCTGAGATATTTGCAAAACTCTGGACCACAGGTGTCTATGGTGGGGAACGAACGCGCTATTGTCCTTTCCGGGGAATAACGCGTTCACCACCACACCATGCGGGTCCTTCGTTTCGCCTGTCTCTCAACTATTTCTATCGATCTTTGCCACAGCAATCACCCGCGTTACTCCCCGGAAAGGACAATAGCGCGTTCGTTCCCCACCATAGACACCTGTGGTCCAGAGTTTTGCAAATATCTCAGCAACGTTGTGGTTGTATTTCGCTTAGTACCCTGCCGCGAAATTATAGTAGGCAGAAAATAAAAAGGTATAACA